GTAAAGAGATGTTAATGTCGAAATTCTCCTATTTCACAATCTACTGCCTGAATCTGTGAAAGACCCTCATGGGAGATGAACAGCAACTATGTGAGTTTATTGTTTGCCATTTCCTAGCTTGCTGTTCCTAGGATGTTCAGGGGCAGGCGACTACCATGAAGACTGACATCTCTCAGGAACGACTGTGGTCTATGGTCTTGTGATTCTGGCCCAAAACTATCTGGCTCTGTAGCCATATGATTGCTGGAGTGACAAGGTGATAAATCATAGTGATAAATATGGATAAGTCAGAATCTAGTATCTCACCCCATAGGCTTCAGGGAGAAGAGGAAGATAGCCATGTTCCCAACCCTAGGGCAATTGCATGGACCAGGGCATGTTCTTCAAACTGGAAATTGTCTTTGGCCTGGAATTCCATAGCAGAATGATTTGTTTGATCCTTCCGCTGCTCTCTGTAAACCCTCCCTGTCTATGAGAGAGGCTCTTGCTTTCAGGCCAGCACTGCAGAGACGATGGGCAGGAAGAGGAGTCCACCTCAGCTGCTCACTGAAGCGGACCTTATTGCCCTCTTGGGAAAGCATGGCATTGGTCAGTATAAAGTGGACCCTACTTTATAGCTGAAGTGAGGCTTAGAGAAGTTAGGAACTTAACCTAATGTTACAAAGTGTGTAAGCTATTAAAACTTAGGTCCAAATAACAACACAGTCATTGCTCTTAAGCAATGCTCTGCATCATCCATATACAGATACCTCAGAGTTACTTCTGGTTTGGTTCTAGACTGCTGCAATAAAGTGGGTCACAGGAATTTTTTTATTTCCCAGCATATAAAAAAGTTAGGTTTAAGTCTTTTAAGTGTGCAATAGCATTATGTCTAAAAAAAAAAAAAAAAGTATATACTTTAATTAAAAAATACTTCATTGCTAAAAAATGCCAACCATCATCTGAGGCTCCAGAGACTCGTAATGTTTTTACTGATGGAGGGCCTCGCCTCAATGTTGATGTCTGTAAAGTGCAATAAAATGAGGTGTGCCTGTAAAGACACATCTCCCACCAGTCTCAATGGGGAGCAGGGGCTGCCCATAGACTCAATATTTTTGACCCACGTTGGGATTTGTTGTGTGTTTTGTTTTTTTTTTATAAAAAGATATCAACATGTAAAACTTGAGAAATTCCACATAAAAATCTGTCACTTCATCTTTTGAAGCATCAGGACGTCTGGCAGCCTGAGCCTTCACTCTCACACGCACAGTTGTTTGGATCTGAGCGGCAGCCATCTCCTCTAGATGTCATTCTCCATTGCTCAAAGTGGGCTTCCTTCACCGACTCATTACATGCCAGGCCCCTGTGGGATCTCAGTTTGTCACCTATTAGCCATGTATGTCCATATTCTTAGATTTTTGTTAAAGCATTTCCCATAATTGCTTAGGAATTAGAAAGTAGATTTATATGGTGTCAGATCATAAGTTATATAAATGCTTAATCACTTGGTTGTACACCTGAAACTAATATAATATAGAACATCAACTGTAATTGAAAAACAAAAATATTTTTTTAAAAAAGAAAAAAGTAAAAAGAAATACACACTGGAATTATTAATAGAATGGCCCACTTTAAAGTCACATTTTTAAGATATACACATATATGTATATGTTCTTTAGTAAATTGTTTTATATATATATATATATATATATATATATATATATATATAATTCTTTATTCATTATATTCCTTATAATGCTTACTATGTGCCAGGCCCTATTCTACATGCTTCACAATTAGTAACTAGTTTAAATCTTTATAGCCCTATAAAGACAGTTCCATTATTATCCTCATATTATAGACGAGCAAACTGAGGCACAAATTAAATAACTTACCTGAGATCACACAGTTTACAGGCCACAGAACTAGAATTTAGGCAGTTGCTTCCTAAATCCACAGATAAACCACTGTGCTTTTCAAGATGGCATATTAGATAATTTTTTAAAGTAAAACTGATGACATCTAATCTTTTCATTAAGTAACAAATCATTATCAGCACATCTGTGGCTATTTTAGAAGTACACATAAACACAAATATAAGGGATATATGTTACTCTGTTACTTTGTTGACAATTGCCAACTATCTAATTTTGTCAGCACTGAAATGAACACTGATTATGATAGAGTGGAGAGCAAAACAAACCCAGTTCATGCCTATATACTTAACGGATACTGAAAAAAATGTTTAAGGTGAGGTTGACTTCCATTCTTCCAACAAATATTTACTGAAAGCCTTAAGTACAGAGGCAGATAGAGTACAAAATAAAACAAATTCCTCACATTAGAAAGCTCACAGTCCAATGGGAATTATAGACAATATGGAAGTAAACAAAAAATTAATATACAATATAAAGTGTTATAGAGAACAAGAAAGAAGAAGCTTGCTGAAATAAAGAAGTGGGTCGGTCAGACTATATGGAAAACAAGCTATTTAAATAGGTTGGTCCCAGAAAGCTTTATTGCAAAAATGACACTTGAGCCAGCCTTGAAGAACTGCAGTCAAGAATACACTAAGAAGAAAACACAGGCAGAGGACCTAAGGCAGGAAAGCATTTGACATGTTGGTGTGTTTGAGGAACTAAAAGAAGAACAACATGGCTTCACGGTGACAGGAGATGCATTTGAAGACATAGTTTGGGCAATATTACATAGAGGCTTACCAAATTAAAACATCTGATTTCAATTCAAAATGTAATGCAAAGCCACTTTAAGCAGTGTTAAGCAGAGGAATAAAGTGATATTGCTTCATGTTTTAAAAAGATGTCTCTGACTTCTGTATGGAGAATAGATTAAGGAGGTCACTAGAAGAAGGGAAACTTGTAAGAAGGCTAATACAGTAGCCCAGGTCAGCAATGATGGAGGCTTAGGTTAAGGGTAGTAGCAGTGTAGATGAAAAGAAGTGGACAGATCTGAAACATACTTTGATGGTAGAATCCAGACAGCATGCTGAAAGAAAGAAGATAAATGGTATCACTTCAAGGTCTTCAGTATGACCTTTTTATTTTGTTTAGAACTGTGACTAAGCCTAATAATCATATATTCAAATCTTTGTATAAAAATATGTTTGAGCCCTGGCCAGTGTGGCTCAGTTGTTAGAGTGTCAGCCCACAGACCGAAGGGTCACAGGTTTGATTCCCGGTCAAGGGCATGTACCTGGGTTGCAAGTTCAATCTCCATCCCCAATCGGGGCGCATGTGGGAGACAACCAATTGATATGTTTCTCTCACACTGATGTTTCTTTCTCTCTCTATCTCCCCTGCCCCTCCCTTCCACTCTCTCTGAATCAATGGAAAAATATCCTCAGGTAAGGATTCATACACACACACACACATATGTTTGAATAGGTTCTCAAAAATTCCCAATGCCCCTCCATCCACTGACAACCAAATAAAGCCTGTATTTCTCAGCCTATATTCAAGATCCTACATAAAAGTCCCAAATGCTCTTCCATAATAGTGCACTCCTATTACACATGTCTTATTCTAAGAGCAAATCACTGCCCTTCCTGGTTTTTATAATACTTTCCTGCCACTAGTTTACTCTCGCAATCCTTCTGCCTGAAAGCTCCTCCTGCCTACAAAACGCTACTTGCCTAAACCCATCTAATGTTCACAATTTCAAGCACCACTTCTCTCTTACAGAAAGCTTTACCTGATCACATAACTAAACAAAATAATTACATATGGTGAAGTACTATGGGGGAAAATAAGGAGAGGAACTCTCCCAAATTCTCATAGTATATGGGATCATTTTACTATAATTCTCACGTTCTTTGGTAGAGGATAGCACTGTTCTTATTCTCAATGACATTTACATAATCATTTAAGGTAGTGTGTCCTTTTCCATTTCTGTATCTCCTAAAACTAAGGCATGGTGTCTTTTAGAAACCATAAATGCCCAATTTGTTTTTCTGGATTGAAAGTCAAATATCTAAGTTATTTTTAAGTTATTCACTGATATCTCCAAGCCTCTGTTTCCTTTCATTATGAATGCCTGAATTTATTTTTTCACTTACTCACTAAACATTTTCTGATAAATAAGCAATGTGCCGGGTAGTCAGGATACAAAAGTAGTAAGACATGGTTTTTTTACCCAAAGAGTTCAGAGTCTAGTGAAGAAAGACATAGGGTAATATAACTATGCTGTAGTAAGTAAAACAATCAAGATATGTACATGCTTAAGCCATCTTTTGGGGAAGGTTAGAAGAGGCATTGTTCAGAAACAGATTTCTAGAAAAGTAGCAAGTAAAATAAGTACTATTTATCAAGTAGAAGAGGAATAGAAGAATATCTCAGGCCAAGAAGACAGAAAAATTGATGCCACAAAAGCAAGTATCACTTAAGTGAAAATAATTGAACATTACCAAAAACTGGCTGAGGACTTTGTTCTTCCCCAAATTTCCATTTTTTCAATCAACTTTTAATGTTATCTATAAGAAATAACTAGAATACATAATTTTAAAATTAAGTTAATAGCAAAGTCAATACTTGCATTAAACTTCATCTGATAGACATTTATCTATAAGAAATAGCTGTTAGGACTAATAGGTTTTCTTTTAATATATCTAATTTTTATATTATTGGTTTAAAAATAATTATATTTTAAATTTTTAGTAAGAAAAAATTAAATGAAAGAATGGTCAACAATTTGAATCATTTACAAAAGCTAATAGGTGCTGAGAGTACCTATCATGAACTAGGTACTGTCCTAAGCAATTATATGTATTAAGTCATAAACACTTCACAACATTATTAAATGACAGATAATATCATTATTTTCTCCTATTAAGGGAAACTGAAATGAAAGAAAATGAGGTTTGACTCAATACTACAGTTGTGAAAATTAAAAGTTAATTTTTTTAATGAGAATTTTTTAATGAACTACATTATGATCAAATAACCATCAGGCACACTAAGAAGAAACCATAGGAGAAATTAAATACATAAAAGTAACATCCTTACCTGATTGATTTCACTTTGGAGTTGTAATCCATGCTGCTCCTTTTCTTCTCTCTGTTGTTGTAGCTGCTTAAACTCTGCCTTAAGATGCTGGTACTTGGTCTCTACTTCTAATAATTCTTCTTTGAGTTTTTGAGTAGCTTCTCCCTTTTCACCTAATTCTGCCTGTATTCTCTGCAGTGTGGTTTCAGAAGCAGATAATCTTGACTGAAGTTGTTGACAATCTAGGTCTTTTTGATGAAGGCTTGCTTGTATATTCTTTTTACTCACACATTCGTCATTATGCTTCTCTTCTAATTGAGTATAGTCCAGTTCTTTCTTCAGCAACTTTTCAGTCAAGTTCTGAAATATCAATTTAACAATTTTTCCTTTTCTAATATTTTAATTATTCTAATTATTCAAAGAATTTATACAGCAATACCATCTCCTACTAAATGTTTTAGTCAATATTACAATATAAAAACCGTGAAAATATTCTAACCAAGAAGAATTAAATTATTACATACTAACTTAATATAATTTAAGAATTACTAATGCAATTTTGACATAAATAAAAACCCTAAAATCTACTAGATTCTTTAGGATAAGAATATTTATATTCTCCCATTTGAGTTATAAATTAAAACTACACTTCTAGCATCAAAAATTATCTTGGATAACAATATGTTGTGGCAACTATCATTTCTGGATTTGCTGATAAGTATTTTAGCATAACAATACCATTCACTGCTCTAGTATGCCTGGTCCTACTCATTCCTTATATTTGTTCTTAATAAGGACCATTTTTAAGAGTTACAAGTTTAAGACTAATTCAAATATTTCTCTAAGTATATAAATAGTGATTTAAAAATATCACTTACCTGCTTTATATTTTGTTAATTTACTTAATACTATCAAGTACAAAATGTAAAAATGATACTACCAATCAAATATATGAATCAACAAGACTAATCAGATGTCAAAGTCTGGTCTCAGTGGAGTTGTTACAATTAATATTGAACACTTTAAATCAACATATTTACACATGAAATATAAATCAGAATTTTGACTTAATTGTGTAAGAAAGCTGGGATAAGAAGCCACTATAAGCACCAGAAGAGTCGATCCATGGACATTTATTTTACTCAGTTTTTATATTCAAAGTATAGAAGGGAATAATATAAAAATGGTAGGGGACAATCAAAGCCTCTGGCCTTTAAACAGATTACAATCTAAATGAAACACACACACACACAAAATGAAATAAATGAAACACCCACATTAAAAAATACTTTTCTAAGTATGTTAAAGCATGATGTACAAGCAAAAGTGGATTAATACAAAAACTGTGTCAAATTTAAGTGCCTAATTTTTTACAAAATAAAATGAGCAAAGTCAGGTGAAGCTAACTAGTAAATTCCAATCATCTAGAAATAAAGTTTGAGTTTGGTAAAGTGGTCAGAGGAGTTAAGTAATAGGTACACATGACTCATGCCATCTGCTCTATACAAAAAGACAGAATGGAACAGACAAGTTGCATGTGGGGAAACAGTAAACACTATTACCTCAGGGCAGTAATAAATCTAGGCACCAAAGAGAGAAAGGTAGCAGTAACTTATCTGAGAAGTACATTAATGTAAATTACCAAGTAGGAATATAATATTAAAAAAAGCAGAAAGATGACAGAAGCATATATAAGAGAGACAAGATGGGAGAAACCTTAGAGATAAGAAGAGCAACAAGAAGTTCGTAGCAAAATTAGCCAAGAGATGTGTGCCTTGACCAACCAACAGAATAGAAACAAGAAGTAGAAGAACCAAAATACTAGAGAAAAAACTAATACTTTTAAGTCAAACTATGTTAGAAAAATGATCTTTTTATAAACATTTTTGTGTTACTAGTTAGTAACTGCAAATCTTTCTTGACATGATTTTACATTTTCTCTTTTAAGAAAATAACATTTATTTTAGAATTTGCAGGCTAAGTCAAATCTATTTGGTAATCTATAAATGTACTGGATCTTTTTAAAGAAAATTCTAAGTTATTGAATTTCATGAATATAACCATGGTCACAAATACTGAGAACTTGAAGAAGATATAATTTTAAAACATGCTACAAAAATTAAGGTTGGTAATAAGTTAGTCTTCTTCCCCATAGGCTTACTTATAAAGTGACCAAGTAATCCCAACAATTCTATAAATAAATGACCCCTCAGACAGCTTCAATCTTTAAAAAGCAAAAATACATAACAACCATTGATTATTTAAAATTGACTTGTCCTAAAAAATTAATCAAAATCTATCTGCTTTATTGCAGAGGTGGGAGATGATTAAATCTTCTTTAAAAGAACCTAAACCACTTTGTTTTGTAAGAACCTAATCCACTCACACTATAATTTTTACATACAAAAGTCTAACTATATTTAACACTACAAGCTTTTCATTTTTATTAGAAATAAAAGAGTATAGTGATTACATGGTTTTTGAATATTTCTTTTTTAAAGTACAGCAGAATCCATTAAAGAAAATAATAATTGTACTTGTACTTATCAATATAAGTCCGTACAACAAAATATAAGATAGACATTATCATCCCCATTCTACAGACAAGGAAGCTACAATTGAAAGAACCCAATATGACTTGGCCAGTAGCAAAGTCACATATTATGATTCTAAGTCCAATAAATTTTTCATAATACAATTTAGACACTCAATGAGTCAAATTGTGCTCCCCAAAAATACATCCTATTCAAGTTTAAATTATAGAATGAATGTTAAGCCTAACTCATAACATAATTATCATTTGGGTAAGCAAAATTCTTCTTTCCTTCCAAATGTCTAGTCCTCTTGATTTTTTTCACCAATTGTTCTCTCAACATATTTTTTTACAGAGTTAATTTCCCTATCTCAGGCTCCATTGTTCAATTATTATTTGTCCAGGTAATGAGAATGAATGCAAAAAAAAGCACTTTTTTTTAATGCTTGATCACTTAAAAAGTGGTTTCAGACATCTCATCTTATTTGTTCCTCAAAACAGCTTGATGAGAAAGAACAAACTGACTTATTTGTAGCTCTCCAACATCTCGTATTTTGTGATCTTGCATGTTCCCATGCCTCCTGTATATTTAACCCCACTGCTGTGTAAAATTATCTTTAGAATCCTTAAAGACTAATCTAAAATGTTATGTCTTCTATAAAATTATTTCCTGAGTTACTGGGCAGTAAGTTAGGAAAACTCCTACCTTGGTCTGACCCAATCCTGTATCACAACACTTACCAAATAAAAAACAAAAATGAACATTCACTGAGGTGCTTACTAAACACCAGAAACTGGTCTAAGCACTATTAATTTTTTAATACTCATATCAATTTTAAGAGGCAAACGGGTATACATTATTTCTTAACAGAAGAGGAAAGACTTTGAGAAGTTGAGTGTCACAGCCAGTTGGTGGCAAAGCTGAGATTTAAACATGCCTTTGATCATTGTACTGCACTGTTCATATCAATATACCATCTTGCAACACAGTGGTAATACAAGTAACATAACTACTTGCCACATCTGGCCCCCGCTTGGTCCATGAGCACCTTAATACTGGGACTGATGGAAAGAGGAGAGCCATGAAGGATGAAAAAGGGATGAGAGGAGGATTAAAAATGGCAGCAGAGTAAGTGGGTGCTGCACGGACATGCTCCCAGGAATAAACTGGTATTACAACTAAAATACGGAAAAACTTCCTGAATAATCAAAGGAAAACACAGGAGAGAACCCTGACACCTGAAGACCGAAAGTGGAGACCACTTAGAGACTGGTAGGAGGAGCAGAGGTGTGAGAGGGCTGCCCAGGTGCCCAAAGACAGCAACTGAAGTCCCCGAGAGATATCTCAGCTGTGGTGGGGTGCCACTGAGAACTCTGGGATCTAATCCCCAAGCTGGGACTCCCAGCAAAGAGCACCAAAACTGAGAAAGGTGCCCACATAACAGCTAGCTGTGAAAAGCAGCAGGGTACTGTCTGCCAGGGAGTAACAGCTGAAAATTCAGGCACCCTCTTAAAGGGCCAACGCACAAAATTCCCTGTGGAGCCACCCACCTTGTGCTCCAGCAGCGGGTGAAGTGGACTGGAGCTGTGAGAGCAGAAGCCAGGACTGGGGACTCAGGGTATAGAGCTCAGAAGGCAGATACCCTGTCACTTCAAAGAATAGAACTGATAGTATTTGCTGTCAATGTTAAAATTAAAGCTTTCAAATGAAGCTCAGAATTTTGGAAAACTACCCTAGCTGGTTTGGCTCAGTGGATAGAGCATCGGCCTGTGGTTTGAAGGGTCCTGGGTTTGATTCCGGGAAAGGGAACGTACCCAGGTTGCAGGCTCAATCGCCAAAAGGGGGCGTGCAGCCAATCAATGATTCTCTCTCATCATTGATATTTCTCTCTCTCCCTCTCCCTTCCCCTCTTGAAATCAATAAAAATATATATAAAAAAAGAATTTTGGAAAACTTGTATCCACCACCATGAGCATGACACTCATACTTAAAGCCTATTTTGAAATTGATGGTGATAGTGACAAATGTGATTATTTTTATATTGTACAATGAAATGTGTCAGTTTTGGAGAGGTTTTCATAAGTCAGTGAACCAATATTTTCCACATTTGTAACACAATGTTATAAAGTCATGCACAGGAAAGATAGACCCAAAAGGCAAGATAGAAGAATGAATTTTAATGTTACAAAGTACAAAAATTTCATTGATATGGTTTCAGAGTCTACAGTGTAACTAACTTTTGAGAAACTATACCTTATCTAGTATCAAATTAAAATAGCTACAAGTATCTAAAAAAGGGCTATTAAGATATCCCTATCTTTTCCAACTACATATCTGTATAAGACTGAATTTTCTTCATATACTTCAACCATATCATAACAGATTAAATTTATACCGAATGAGAATCCATCTCTCCTGTAGTAAGTTAAATATTTACGAGGTTTGCAAAAATATAAACCATCACCACTATTCTTTGTTTTCGAAAAAACAGTAATTTTTCATAAATGTTCATATTTAATTGCTAATAGTTTTTAAAATAAATTAATAAGCATTTTAAAATTTTAATTTCGAATGTTGTAAGTATCCATAGATATAACTCAGAAAAATACCAGTAAAAGCTCTTTGGGGTTCATAACTTTGAGAATGCAAAGCAGTCCTAATATTATCATCATAACTAGCTAGTTTATTAATACTTATAATACGAAGAGAACAAAGCAGGCCAGACATTATAAGGATGGTCATCTGGACAGCTTCACCAGGAAGCTACAGCTTCATGCTCCCCAGGGAACCCCAGAGTCATTCTTGCAGATCACTGGGAGAAGGGAT